CCCTGAATCACCTCTTGTCGGAGCATTACCGTTGTGGAAGAATTGTTTTGGCTGATGAAAAGTGCAACTTGTTCACCGATCTCGGACGAGAGCTGTATTTAATAACCCTGCTTTCACTACCTCACATCGTTAGTTTTTGTTCCTTTCTATTTTCCTTTATGTTGCCCTCTCTTCATCTCATTAGTCAATCCTTACTCATTTCAAGCTCTTCTTCTCTTACTATTTTTCCATCAGTTCCAGCCACCCAGAATTAATTTCTTACTTTCTTTTTTTCTGTCCATCCTACGTTTGTTGATTTGTTTGGAGTAAACCCAAACTAAAACAAATTTGATCAGCACAGTGAAGCGTGATTTTCATTGTAATGACTTGTTCGCAAATCTAATATTGTCGTGTTTTTTTGCATACACGCTCAGTATTATGACATTCTGCAAAAGGATACATTAAATACTTTTCGACATGACTGCTCAGTGGACATAAGGATCATGACAATGTAGTTGTACTTACGTGAACTACAGAGAAAAAAAGGAGTAATGTGACATTTTCTTACGAACTGAAAATTCACATCCAGGGACTTCATGGCATGACATAGAGTTACCACCTCTGTAAGGGTTATGACTTTATGTCAGAGGTGAGATATAGGACACATTGGTTTTTATAGTCTAGAAAACCTCGCAAATAACTTAAATTCAAACGTGCCACTTTTGGGACTGAACCAAGGTCAGTCGGTTTATTCTGGCGATGTGGTAAAGAACATGAACACAAGTGTTATACCATGCTGTTTAGTGTATGTTTACTTTTCCAAAGAGTTTTATGGCACTTACAAAATAAATAAATCGTATAAGATCCAAAGGTAGAGGTGCTACAGAAGATAGAGAGTAACATACAAAGAAAATCGAATTCATGTCTGCTGGTGAAGAGCCATTGTATCACAAACACCAGAGAGAGAGAGAGAGAGAGAGAGAGAGAGAGAGAGAGAGAGAGAGAGAGAGAGAGAGAGAGAGAGAGAGAGGATTGGCTGTTGGCTGAGTAAATCAAATGTATTTTCAATATTAAATTCTACCACCGGAAGTAATCCTGGACCAAATTCGGCCTACGTTCCGTTTGCCTTGTCACTCTCGACCTTTACCCATTATGAAAGTTGCAGTTTCACAAGCCTGTCAGAGTGGGGGGCAGGGTGGGGTGTGAGTTCGGGG